AAAGAGAAGATAGGAGGGAAGAGAAATGAAAAAAAAAAAAAAGCAAAATAAATTTGTAGAACATAAAACATCAAATTAATGCGCCCGGCTAGATGCTATGGTTGCGCCGCACACTACCAAATGCAAGCTATATTTACACATGGTGGAGTCCACTTTTCTGAGTAAAAACCAACTCCTTGTGGGGAGAGTTTTTTTTGTTGTCTCTCTCCTCTCCCTCTCACCTCCACAAATGCCTTCCTTCCTAAAAATTCACACCAAAATCTTCTATTAGGGATAAACTTACTCCTTAAAATGTACTTCCAGTGGCAAGTTGTCATATTTTATATTTTTAGGTCAAAAGTAGACCTATCAAAACGGGCCAGCACGACCCATACGGGCTGGCCCGTCTCGGGTTCAACAGGAGCATTAAATGGTGTCCTAGCTATGATAGAAAAATGGTGTCCTAGGTATGATATTTTAAATCCCAATGAGCATTAAATGATTGTGATAGTACTAATTGCCACGTAAGCGGTAATTAAATAAACACGAGATCAATTAAAGCAATTAAATAACTCTTATTGATCACTGTGAAGGCCCTAAGTACAATCTAAATGGTTGCTCTGAGTACCGACTGACTGCGGTCGGGATTCTCTAACAACAACCTATCGATCGTCCAAAAGTCCCTCCCACTATCGCTATCGCGGGTATTTATAGCCACGGAGCCGAGGACACAAATCCGGCCGTCCGGCATGCTTCCTACGTAGCAACCACGTGTCGCCTTCCCGGGTGCCCTGCCTGTCAACGCGTAGAGTCGCCACGTGTTTCTCACTAGCTCTCTTGCTAAAGGACTACCACTCGGTGGTTGGCAACGCCAATCGGGCACCACCCACCCGGCAACCGACCGGGTTCTTCACAAGCAACCCGACCTGTAACCTGCAAAGACAAGAAGAAAAGGACGAAGGCACTGCGGTCGGGGTACTATTATGTCGGTTGGGGTATTCCCTACCAAGAGCCCCCCAGCCTGTGCCTTTTTGACCGTCTAGGAAAAAACGGGACGGGATGAAAAAGCCCAACCGTCAGCCACCAAATCGACCGGCCAGCTGTCATTTCCTCCCTCGCCACGTGTCGACGACTGCCGGCCTCTGCGACTACAACGGTCGCCTCGGAATCAGCACTAGTCGCGTCACGCAAGTGGACTGGTTTCCTGCCCAAACGCTCTCTTATAAATAGGCCTTTGAGGCCGTCATTTGAACTTTCCTCAACCTTCTGAATCGATCGGTATACTCAGAGAGTCCCGAGCGGAGCAATCCCACAGATCGGTCGAGCAAACAACGTCCAAGCCTAATCAAAGCCTCTACACTCGGTAAGTTCCCTGGGCCTTAGCTCTTATTTTTCACTTTACATTTCCGCATAGCCAACTGTAGGCAACTACTAACTTCGACCCCACATCCCGAGTCCCAAACTAACTCCGACCGGCCTTTAGGTAGACAAAATGTCAGACTCGGACAGCCAGAATATATCAGTTGCAGACTATGACGACGAGGTCGAACAGATCAGGGAAGAGGTGGACATTATGTCCTACTCCCCGGAGGTCGTTCAACGACCGCAGAAAGCCCCCAAGCAAGTACGGTCGTCAAGCTCGTCTGGAACGTCCGGGTCCAGCTCTGTAACACCCCGTGTTACGACCCCTAAAACCAATTAAATCATTTAATCAATTGCCCAAAGGCAGGATTGAATTACAATAATTAATTTAAAAGAGGCCCACCATAGTCCGTGGGCCCCCACCCCTAAAACCTAACCCTAGCCCTAAAAGAAATAGAATTAGCAAGCCCATTATACTAGACCCTAATTAGGACTCCTAGGAATATAAATAGGGGACAAAAGAGGCACCTAGAACCCCCACCACAATAACGTCTCACCACCCAAAGAGCTCCAAGAATTCCCTTAGAAGAAATCAAGAAAGCAAGAAAGCTTAAAGAAAGACTCTTCATAGCCAAGGAATTAATTAAGGCTAAGAGGTAACCCATGTCTCAACAAAACCTATTTTCATAGCTATGATTCCCCCCTTAGGATTTCCCCATATTATTGTGTATTGATGATTTGTGATATTATTATTGATGATTGGTGGGATGATTCCATGGGTGATCTTGATGATGAGAGGTTCTTGATAATTATGGTGTTCTTGATGATTATATGAGTTTCTTGATAGTTACATGATATTCCTACCGAATCTTGATTTTGGAAGATGAATTGTGTTCTTGTCAATTTAAAAATAATTAGAACCCTAGGTTATATTGTGGAATTCGTATGCTATTATTCTTGGTGTATTGGGTAGGAATTCGCATGATTGAGTGTTGATTATGTTTAGAAAAGCATGATAGGTTATGTGCCATATGTTTCTTGATTTTGATCCGTTAATTGTCTACGTGTGTTATCAATTGCATTTGAAAGTGTCTAAGCATGGTTTCGGGTTCCACAAAGGTTCCCGGGGCGTTTTTGGTGAAAAAGAGTCAGTGGGGGGTAGGTGGGGGTAGGGGACCCGCCACCTACCCGCGGCCTAGTTGGGCAACGCCGGCAGCGGGCAGCCGGCGGGCGGGCAGCTGCCCGCCGGGCACCCGCTGCCCGGAATAGTGCCGCCAGCGGGCAGCCGGCGGGTGACCCCTCAGCCACCGGCTACCCGCTGGTTTGTACCCCACTTCGGGATCCCAGATTCCCCGATTGATGTTTCCCCGACCCCCGTGGTGTCCTAACGGACCCCTCCTATCGTGCCTATGTCTAGTTTGATATTCGGGTACCGTTCGTAGGTCGAATTAGTCTTGTATATTGCATACTAGTCGAATTGGTATCCCGTTGACCTAGGTATAAGGAGTATGAACCCCTTACGAGTATTCTTAGTTGTGGATGACCACGCATAGGTTTCGTTATACGTTTCCCCCCATTCCCAATGTGTTAATGTGGGTTGCATGTGTTTGCTATGTGTTATGTGTGCATGTTACCCCGATTTGGTTGAGATCAATCGGGCTATACGGGCAGTCGGATGGGCTAAGAACTATACCGGCTGTTAATCAGGCTGGTAAAGACCGGTCAGGTATATAAATATTATATAGGACTGAGGTCCACTATACGGGCAGTTGAATGGGTTGAGAACCATCCCAACTGTTAACCAGGCTGGTAGAGACCGGTCAGGTATATAAATATTATATAGGACAAAGGTCCACTATACGGGCAGTTGAATGGGTTGAGAACCATCCCAACTGTTAACCAGGCTGGTAAAGACCGGTCAGGTATATAAATATTATATAGAGCTGCGGCTCATCGGTCGGTTGCGATCGACCCCTCTATCGTGAGACGGGGCAGGGTGCTGCGGGACCGTGTCAGAGCTATATGCGCTGACCCTCATGTATGGGCATGTGATTGGTCCTGTGGTGCCAACAAAGTGTGCTATATGATGAGATAAGAAGGATTGATGATGTGACTGATATGGAAACGTGACCGTAGGATTCTTGCTAGTAAACTATACATGTTTAATTGTGATTATTGGTTGTGTTTATCTATAACTGTGCCCTATGTCGAGAATCGTATATACTTGGTTATGACTGTAGATTGTGTGTACCCCTATTTGTCGAGTCGGTTCCCTGATTTGAAAGCTTGAGTCTCTTAGGATATATCTTCATGCTTCGAAATGACTTTTCGTATATATATATATATATATATATATATATATATATATATATATATATATATATATATGTATTGTATTTCAACGCGTTGGAGTGGGTTACCAGCATCTCTCGCTGAACAGATATATTTGGCTTTCAGGCACAGAAGAATAAGTCACTGGAGCGCGCTAGATCTTGGGGCGTAGAAGTAGATAGTTTCCCTTTCGGCATGCGTGCCATGTTATGCATTTACTTTATTAAGGATATTAGTTAGTTGGCCTGTGCACCTGAGTTCTCTAGCTCAGGTGTGACATAGCACCCCGTACTCTTTATGTTACGTTTTTGGGAATTAATGAGATTTCACCTTTATTTTATAAGTTTTAAATGCCCTGAAAATCTGGGGTGTTACAGTTGGTATCAGAGCCTAAGTTTGACCCTAGGATAAGACTCTTAAGACCGGACCTTAAGACACTAGGCTTGAACTCTAGGTACTTAGGAACATAGGACTCAGGAATCTTAGACCGCGCGGTGAGATTGTGAAACCTACACATAACCTCCCCTAACTCTATCCCTCCCTTATCTGAAGAAAACTTTCCCCCCACTGATCATGTCGATGAGAGTTTGAATTTGTTGATTAATCGTAACTGAATAGAATTACAGCAGATAAAATGCAACTGACTGGAAACTCTCCTAACTAATAGAGAGCCTCAGTCAAACTAAACCAACACCACATAATTACATAATATAAAAACTATATAACATAACATTTATTAACACACCCCCTCAAGCTCAAGGTGGATGTGAGACGACATTGAGCTTGTCGCGAAGAAGCGTGAACCGAGGTCCTGTGAGTGGTTTGGTGAAGATGTCTGCTAGCTGGTCTTTGGTGGAAACGAAGTTGACGACAAAGTCTCCTGAGGCCACTTTATCTCGGACAAAGTGGTAATCAATCTCCACGTGTTTTGTCCTGGCATGAAACACGGGATTCGCACACAGATATGTTGCCCCAAGATTATCACACCATAAAGTAGCTGGCTCGGGAGAATGAAGCCCAAGTTCACGGAGGAGTGACACAACCCAAGTGACCTCGGCGGAGACATCAGCAAGCGCTTTGTACTCGGCTTCAGTGGATGACCGAGCTACTGTTCGCTGCTTCCTGGATAACCATGATATGAGATTCGTACCGAGAAACACAGCATAGCCACTGGTACTTTTCCTGTCAATCGGACAACCTGCCCAGTCTGAGTCGGAGAAGGCCTGTATAGTGGTGGATGCAGACGGAGTAATGCGTAAGCCATAGTTGATAGTGCCTTTGATGTAGCGCAACACCCGTTTGGCCATGCCCCAATGCTCGTCAGTAGGTTAATGCATGAACTGACATAGACGATTCACAGAGTATGACAAATCTGGGCGTGTTATTGTCAAGTATTGTAGTGCCCCGACAATGCGCCGATAGTGCGTTGGGTTCTCATAAGCGGATGTTGCCGTGATGACTGATGTTGTGACCGATGCTGGTGTGGTGAGAGATTTGCAGTCGAGCATCCCTGCACGACTAAGTAAGTCTGTCATGTACCGCCGTTGAGAAAGTATGAACCCTTTATCCGTAGATATGGTCTCGATGCCCAAAAAGAAACCTGGTTTGCCAAGGTCACGGATTTTGAAGGTGGACGCAAGCCGCTGTAGTAGGGTATTGATCAACACAGCATCATTCCCCATCATGATGATGTCATCAACGTACACAAGCAAGAATACCCGAGATGTGCCGGACGTGTAGTGAAACAATGAGACATCTGTTTTTGACGAGGAAAACCCTGCAAGCAGTAGAAAATCATGAAGCCGTTTGAACCAAGTCCGGGGGGCTTGCTTCAACCCATAAAGCGAGCGCTGCAAATGGCACATGTGATCCGGGTGCACTGGATCCTCGTAACCAGGAGGCTGCTTCATATACACGGTTTCGGCTAGATGTCCATTTAAAAAGGCATTATGGACATCTAACTGGCGCATCGTCCAGTTGGACGAAACAGCAAAGGGTAAAGCACCACAAACAACAAGCCATTCAAAAGGAAAGGTTGTACAATGTGTTGTGGAACCACCAAAAGGATGTTTCCCGAATGGCAACCCGAGACATGGTAACAATGTCAATCGGAATGGACCTAGAGTAAATAGACCAAGTCTATATTACAAAAATGGTCAGTCAACGTGAAATAACAAATTGAAGGAAAACCCTAATATCAATCAGAGGCAAATTCGTTCAAAGAATCAATGTAAGGGTTATTCACAGGGAAATCGTAATAATTTTCATAATGGACGAAAGAATAACGGGCATGTTAAGCCTCGGAGGTCACTTAGAAGACCAATGAGAGGCGTCGGAAGGCTTTATCCTTCTGAAGAGAACTGGCTTGTGTTTCCTGAACCCATGACGAAAGTAGAATTCGAAAAGGTTCACAAACATAAACAGACTCATTATTCTAAGGTTTATCATAGTCTACCTGAAGCCCATTCTCAAAGATGATACAATCAAGCCAAAACTTTTTCAAAAATCCCATACTATTATCGCGTGTTTAATGGATACAGAGGACCAAGGATGAGTAACACCAATTCTAGGTTCGTCTGGATCCCGAAATTGACCGCTAACCCTCAAGGACCTGAGAACGAAGGGGTACCTAAAACTACATAATTTTTTGATTTCAGGATAACAAGGTCATTTGGTACGTAGATAGTGGTTGCTCGAGACACATGACTGTTGATAAATCAAATTTGAGCAACTATCAAGAGATTGGTGGCCCGAAAGTAGTTTTTGGAGGAGAATCTAGTGGAATGGGAGATATTATCAAAAATGGAATAATCATTCACGATATTTCATATGTTGAAGGACTAAAGTTCAATTTGTTGAGTACCAGCCAATTTTGTGACAAAGGATACAAAGTTGAATTCTTAAGAGACAAGTGCAGTGTAATCAGCATGGAAAATAGTGATATTGTATTATCAGCTAAGCGAAAGAAGAATATGTATGTTGTCACATGGGAACTCTCTAAGGTGAATGTTTGTTTGTTGGCTAAAAGTAATGTTGATCTAAGCTGGGAATGACACAACAAAATGAATCATTTTAATCTCAAGACTATCAACAAGTTGGCAAAAGGCAATCTAGTAGACGTTCTACCGAAAGTTTCGTATGTCAAGGATAAAATCTGTGATGCTTGTCAGAAAGGAAAACAGATCAAGTCTTTGTTCAAATCAAAGCCCATTGATACAAATTCAAGACCCCTGAGTCTTCTACATATGGACTTGTCCGGTCCAGTTGATCTTGTAAACCTAAGTGGACGAAAGTATACTCTCGTGGTAGTAGATGACTACACAAGATATACTTGGACACTCTTTTTTAAGAAGAAGAACGAGACAGAAAAGATGTTACCTGAACTTTTGAGACAGCTTCAGAATGAGAAGGAAGTTAGCATTATAAGAATATGATCAGATCAGGGTACAGAGTTTGTGAACAAAGTTATTTCAGACTTCTATGGACAGAATGTGGTATATTTCACCAACTTTCAGCTAGAGATGGAAATTCTACCCGCACCCAACGGGTTCCTCATATCCCCGCCCCTGCGGGTTTTAAAATACCAGCACAATTTGCGTAATGGGTGCGGGTATGGGGGAAAATTTGTATACCCGCAGGGGTATGGGGGCGGGTGCGAGGGGAGGTATCCATGCCCCGCAGCCGCACTTATATATATTGTTATTAGTATTCATTTATTATATAAGTTTATTTATATTTTTATAATTAAAAATGCATAATGAATTAAACTTCTTAGGTATTTTTTGTTTATGAAATTGGAATAGGAACAACGCAAATAACATAATGAGTAAACATTTAATAAAATTTATACTACCAACACAATTTTAGTTCCAATTAAGAACTAACTTCATTGGCTCTTATTAAATTTTATTAGAGTTATGTTCCAACTTATAAAAAAAATCCATGTGATAATTATAATTATAGTATAAGATTTTTATTAGATTTAAGTGTAATATTAATAATTAGACTTGTGGGTTGGGTATTATCCGCAACCGTAAAATCCCCGCGGGGGCCGGTATGGGGTAGGAATTTCATTACCCGCACGGGTGCGGGTGCGGGGGATATATCCCCCGCAGCCACCCACCCTATTGCCATTCCTACTTTCAGCTGCAAGAACTCCTCAGCAGAATGGAGTGGCTGAAAGAAGAAATAGAACTCTAAAGGAAACAGCTCATACCCTGATAGCTCACTCTGGTTTACCTAAACGGTTTTGGGCTGAAGCCATCAATACAGCCCGCTATACCCAGAATCGTACTCTAATCAACAAAGCTCACGGGTTGACACCCTATGAGTTATGGAAAGGAAAGAAGCATGTCATAAGCTATTTTCACATCTTTGGTTGCAAATATTTTATTCATAACAATGGGAAGAATCATCTAAAAGCATTTGATGAAAGGGCTGATGAAGGATTGTTCATGGGATACTCCTCAGTGACTAAAGCATTCAGAGTTCTTAACAAAAGAACTATGGTGATTGAAGAATCAATTCATGTGAAATTTAACGAAAGAATGGAAAAGGATTCAGTCAACAATTTATCAGATTCTATGAGGAATTTGAGTATTCAGGCCGAATCTAGCAATGTCTTAGATGTAGACTCGGAGTTAGAAGATTTCTTAGTACCTTATCAAAGATATCAACCCAAAAGTGTTACTTAGCAAGTTACCAAGACAGTAACACCCATCGAACCTGATTCACAAGCTCAACCCAAATCCATGATTGATGAAGAATTTCCTAACATCCACCAAGTAGATGATCATGCTCCACAAACTTCTTTTCAACCAGATTTGAGATGGTTAAGAGATCATCCTCCAGAGCAAGTTATTAGAAATGTTCGAGATGGTGTAAGAACTCGAGCTTCAGTTCATGAATGCATGATGGCATGTTTTCTATCTCAAATCAAGCCAAAGACAATTGAAGAAGCTCTAAGTGACTCAGATTGGGTTACTGCTATGCAAGAAGAACTTCACCAATTTGAGAGGAATGAAGTATGGGATTTAGTTCCTAGACCCACTCATCAGAAAGTTATTGGAACTAAATGGGTTTTTATAAATAAAATGAGTGAGGAAGGAGTCATTATTAGGAACAAAGCTCGTCTAGTGGCAAAATGTTACTGTCAGGAGAAAGGTATAGATTTTGATGAAACCTTCGCTCCAGTTGCATGTTTAGAAGCTATACGCATATTTCTTGCTTATGCGGCATATAAGGAATTCAAAGTCTTCCAGATAGATGTCAAAAGTGCGTTCCTAAACGGACTTCATGAAGAGGAATTTTATGTTGAACAACCACCTGGTTTTCAATCTGAGAATTGACATGATAAGGTTTATCGATTGAAAAAGGCATTATATGGAGTAAAGCAAGCACCAAGAGCATGTCATGATACTCTTTCGTGTTTCCTAATCAATTATGGTTTCACGAAGGGACTGGTACATAAGAACCTTTTTCGTATTAAAGTCGAAAAACATATTCTTCTAGTTCAGATCTATGTCGACGATATCATATTTGGCAGCACGAACTCATCACTATGCGAGAAATTCTCCAATCTTATGAAAGGAAAGTTTGAAATGAGCATGATGGGTGAGCTAATTTTTTTTCTTGGTCCACAAGTCAAGCAGTGTGATGATGGAATATTCATAAATCAAGCTAAATATACAAAGGACTTGATTAAGAAATATGGAATAGATGGCAAATCCTTTGTGAAAATTCCTATGAATACCTCGTTAAGGATGAATATTGACAACGAAGGAAAAGAAGTCGATCAGACCAAATATAGAGGAATTATTGGATCGTTATTATATCTTGCAGCCAGTAGGCCAGATATATCTTTTGCTATTGGCGTGTGTGCACGATTCCAATCCTGTCCTAAGGAAAGTCATCTAAGTGCAGCTAAGAAGATCCTGAGATACCTCAAGGGAATGCAAAGTGTTGGACTTTGGTACCCGAAAGGAGGATCTTTCAATCTCGTTGGATATTCTGATGTAGATTTTGCTGGATGCAGAATTGACCAAAAGAGTATCTCTGGGACGTGTCAGTTCTTAGGGGGGAGACTCGTGTCATTGTTTAGAAAAAAGCAAAACTCTATTGCTACAAGTACCGCTGAAGCCGAATATATAGCAGCAGGGAGCTGTTGTGCACAAATCTTGTGGATGACGTAACAACTAAAGGATTATGAAGTTTCGGCACGAGAAGTGTGTATCAAATGCGATAACACAAGTGCAATTTCCATCACTCACAATCCAGTGTTACATTCGCGAACCAAGCATATTGACATCAAGTATCATTTCATTCGTGATCATGTAGAGAAGAAGGATATATCTCTCGAATATGTCAATACCGAAGATCAATTAGCGGATATCCTCATGAAAACATTGAGCGAAGGAAGATTTTCATCTCTTCGTCACGAGTTGGGAATGATAGAAATGGCTTAGTCGAAAACTCATTTCATCAAAGCGTTTCTTCAGCACGCTTGCTGCCAAGATTCTTGAAAGATTCCGAGAGCTATGTTTTGGACAGTATGGAGAAACATCTTTTGCATACCTCAACACGAAAGAAGATATTCGTTTTTCTACTATAAAAGGAAGCCATACCATGACGGAAGAGACACACTAATTTTCTTCTTAGTTTTTATCTTCTAGTTTTTATTTGCAGAAACATGGATAACCGGAAAGGCAAAGGAAAGGTGGACGAAACTTTGGATCGAGAAGCTATGAATTTTTTTTTACAGAAGAATGGCATGGAAAGAAGAAAGAGAGAAGTTCAGGAAGAAGACTATGCTTGGAGACTGTAACACCCCGTGTTACGACATTCAAACCCGGGATTAATTGTTGAATTAATCCCATTAATAATAATTAAAAAGGATTTAATTTGGTTAGGACTCCCTTTAATTAATTAATATGGTCCACCATGGATCGTGGATCCTTGCCTAAACTATTGTCTTAAACCTACTAGGGATAAAGGAAGTGGGCCTTTACCATTCAGATTCTAATTAGGATTCCTAGTTCTATAAATAGGGCATTAGAAAGCATTTAGAATCCTTTTCCCCTCTCATAGTCCTCGGAATCTTCCCATCACCAAGCCTAAGGAGATCAATCGGAGGAAAATCTTTGAGAAGAACCTTAGTAGCCAAGGGAGAATTAATTAAGGCTAAGAGGTAACCCATGTCTTACAAAACCTATTTTCCTTACTATCTTTTATCAATTGGCTCCGACTGAATGATTGATTGTGTGATTTTGTATGTGTATCTTGTTAGAGCTTGTCGTTAGGTTTATATGGTGAATTATTGCTATTCTTGATATTCTTGATGACCCTGTGTAGTTATTGGTCTGATCTTTTATTTAATTATGTCTAGAGCTTGTCCCTAGGGTTTGTATCGTGAATCTCGTGTTGTGATGTTCTTGGTAGTCTTGGGGGGTTTATGCATTCTCGGGTGTTGATTTTAGTCTAGGACTTGTCTTTAAGGCTTTGCATATAGATTTCTTGATGTTCTTGAGGTTCCGAATGCTCTTGAACCATTATGTGATTGATGTCGAGTCTTGGCATGTTTAAAAATCGTGTTAGAATGTAATTGGAATGATTATTGGTTCAATCTTTGTTAATCGAATCTGTGTTGTTGTTGATACGTGTTGGAATGTGTTTGGACATGGTTTATGGGTTCCACGAACGAACACCGAACCAAAGTCACCTTCATACCAGTGAGGGTAGGTGGGGGGAGACGAACACCCGCCACCTACCCGCAGCAAAAGCTGCCCGATTCCAGCGGGCAGTCGACTGCCCTCCGAGCACCAGCTGGAATCCTGACCGCCCACCGGCGGGTGGTCCTGCACCCACCACCCACCAGCTGGAACGGGGTGGCGCGGCGAGTCGTTTTCTCCCCTTTGTTGTTTCCCCGTGTCCTGTTGTGCCCCGTTGTACCCCGTTCGATGTTTATGAGTCTCGTACGATGTTATGAGTACCGTTCTAGGAATTTATGTGTGGTATGTTTCGTTGCTATTATACCTTGATTGTTATTGTTGATTATATGTTAATTGTCTGAATGATGATGGGTATTGTGATCATTGTGCAATGATGGTCGAGATCGATGATAATGAGATTGTGATTGGTGGGAATGAATTGTTGGCGGATAACACAACGAGTGCTCGGTTATCGTGCTAAAGGCACGGATCACCCCTTAGACTTGCTTGCTAAAGGCTTGGGTCAGGGTATAAGAGCCGCGATGCCATGTCAGAGCTATATGCGCTGACCCCTTGGTATTGGTGCTAGAGGCACGGATCATGCGAATGACACTTCGGTGCTACCATGTTGGTGGAATTGTTGCCGGTATGTCGGTGGGGGCATGTTGTTGCCCGGAGGGATAAGGGAGGCGATATAAGGGTGGCCTGGAGGTACAGGTTGGAACTGATATAAGGATGGAGATGAGTAAAGGTTGGAACTTGGTATAAGGTTGGAAGATGGACTGTGTGCCTTGATGATTACTTGCTAATTGATTGTCATTGGATCCCATTGTTGCCTTTAATTGCTATTTATGAGCTTACTTGTCTATTATGCGTGGCAATTGTAGGATGCATACTAGTATCTCTATAATATTCGAAATGTTCCTTATTGATAGTGTCTCGAGTCTTGATCCGGGTTTTAAAGCTAGAGTTACGTTGTTTAGGATTATATATGTATTCCAGTTTCAAATGGTTTTCTTATATCTATCTATATTGTACTTAACGCGTGGGAGTGGGTTACCAGCATTATTCGCTGATGGTTGTTACACCGAATGTTTTTCAAGTACAGATCAATAGCTTCAGAGTGCGCTAGATGGACACGAGGACCTAGCTTAGATAGTTTAGTATTAGTTAGATGGCCTGTGAGCCTTGGATTGTATTATGGATATTAATTATCGTTTATGCTTGTTTAATTTAGTTTAGCATGTGCATCTAGGTTCTCAAACCTAGATGTGGCATAGCACCCCGATACTTATGTTGTTAGTTCCGCTTTGTTTGGATGGATAATGATAGATTTGCCTTTATTTCATAGACTTTAAATGTTTTAAAAATTAGGGGTGTTACAGAGACGGATAACACAAACCCGTAATCATCTCTTCATATGATGAAAAGACTCCCTCTCCACTTCCTATTGTGAAAGCACCAAGCCCAATAGAGGACCTACTCGAGCACCTACTCTAACTTCTGCTAAACTTTATGAGTACAATGAACTGTATGACGAAAGTAGGAGACTGTTAGTGGAAGAAGACATTGACAGCTTCGATTACTCTCCACCTGGCACACCATCAACTTTCCCCACGCCTCTGAAGTCTAAGAAGAATGAGTAATTTCTTTATGCTCCTTAAATAAATAGATGTTGTTAGGAATAAAGTGTAATGGTTTTGATATGCCAAATTTGTATTTGTAGATCCCCCAATGTTATTTTATAGGTCTAGTAGAGTCTTAGACCATGATCGGGAAATTATTTAAATATGAAAAGAGAAAAGCAGAGGAAGATGGATGAAAATAGAAGAAGAAGATATAAAACCGAAAATCAAGAATTTGTCTGGAGAAAATGACAAATTGAAGAAGAAGATGAATGATACAATAATTCACGTCAATGCTACTCAAAGAAGATATCCCAGAAGAATTTTCGTGAAGAAAATTAATGTTGGAAGAAGGCATGAAATTGACTTGGAGATCAAGCATCTATGGAAAGAAAGGAGTACATCAAATATGATTGGAGATTTAATCAAAAGCTGTACGGACGAAGTGGATGATGCTTGATATATTATGCAAAATGGCTCAAGTTTGAAACTCACCATCAACAATTTTTCAAGGAAAAATTTGAAAAGCCGAATTAAATTAATCTGATGGAGTTGGGAAGCAATTTCACTTGGGAGCCAATTTGGAATTGGGAGTCGATTTCATAGCAATTGAAATTGGGAGCCAGTTCGAAGCAATTGAAATTGGGAGCCAGTTTCAGAGAAATTGAAATCAATCAATTGAAATTGGGAGCCAGTTTCAGAGAAATTGAAATCAATCAATTGAAATTGGGAGCCAGTTTCAGAGAAATTGAAATCAATCAATTGAAATTGGGAGCAAGTTTCACATGAGAATCAATTCAAGATGGGAGCCAGAGCCAATGTAGAATTGAAATTGGCTCTTGAGGTTGTAGTATGGGATGCAATTTCAAGTTGGGGACCGATTCAAAGAATGTAGTATGGGATGCAATTTCAAGTTGGGGACCGATTCAAAGAAGGAAGACATGGAGATCAAATTGAATTTCAAGTTGGGGACCGATTCAAAGAAGGAAGACATGGAGATCAAATTGAATTTCAAGTTGGGGACCGATTCAAAGAAGGAAGACATGGAGATCAAATTGAATTTCAAGTTGGGGACCGATTCAAAGAAGGAAGACATGGAGATCAAATTGAATTGAGATGAAATTCAATACAAGGAGAAGTCTGGGAGCCAATTTCGAAGTCAAAGTCAATTGAAAGCACCAGGGACCGATTCAAAGAAGGAAGACATGGAGATCAAATTGAATTTCAAGTTGGGGACCGATTCAAAGAAGGAAGACATGGAGATCAAATTGAATTGAGATGAAATTCAATACCAGGAGAAGTCTGGGAGCCAATTTCGAAGTCAAAGTCAATTGAAAGCACCAGGAGCATATTGGGAGCCAATTGCAAGTCAAAGTCAATTGGGAGCCAATTACAATGGAGAAATTCAAATTGGGTGCCAATTACACCCCAATTGGGAGCCAATTACAATGGAGAAATTCAAATTGGGTGCCAATTACACCCCAATTGAAATTGGGTGGAAGTTCAAAGCCAGTTTGAAGTCTGAGAACACCCAGACGTGAGAATGAAGAAGATGAAGATGAACTTACACTGAAAATATTCTCACAAGGAAAAATACTAGTTTAACTAGTATGGGATTAAATTGATGAATATTTTTAAATCCCAAAGATACAAGGACCACTCCAGAGCTAATCAGAGAAGTCATTCTACACCAAAACTGAGACCTAGATATTTCCACTCAACGTAAAACCAGAGGAATATCAGATGAAGTTTGGGAACTCATTTACATGGAGATGAAACTCCATCAACGGCTAGCTTATCTCTTTCTGACATTTTTGCAGAAGATAAGATAAGATCTCTGACAAAAGATACAAGATTTCAAAAATGAGAGTGTCTCTTTCCAACAGACAGATTCTCATTACCAGCTATAAAATGATGAAGATATGAAGACTTGAAGAAGGGGAAATATAGAGCATACAATAGAGCAAGAGCAGAAAATTCGAATCCATAAAAGGGATCGAATAGAGCAATTAAGCTTGAAAGAACATAGAGCAAAAATCTCATTTGGTACAGAGCATATCAAAAATCTTCAAGTGAGAAGTGAGAAAGAAAAAGAACTCAGAGAGCTTCAAAAGAGAAATATTCTGAGAGTTCTTAAACAGAGCAAAGCAGAGCAAAAATATCAAGTGCTTTACTTGATATATTCAAAGAGAGAAAACACTCAGAGCTGTCAAGAGAAATTATTCCAGAGTGTTTATCTTCATCAAAGAGACCTACGCATCATTGAAGATCATCTACAGAGTCTCAGAAGTTGGAAGCAAGACAACACTTGTTTTGGAGCAAAACAAGAGAAGGGAGGAAAGTAGCACGGAGCTGTGAAATCCTGGATTGTCAACGGAGCTGTGAGATCCGAAGCAATAGTTTCGGAGGCACTGGGCGTGATTGGTGTGGGCTTGGTGATCAAAGCACCAGATCACGGGATACATTTCTACCGGAGTGTGGAAAACGGGGGGAAAGTAACGCGGAGTCGTGAAATCCTGGGATAGTAGCGCGGCGACGTGAAACCCGAAGCAGCAGTGTGGTGTCACTGGGCGTGATTAGTGCGGGCTTTGTGATCAAAGCACTAGATCACGGAAATTCATTGTATCTTGGAACCAAGGAGTGGTAGATATAGTGAATTGCTCTTGGAGATAAGAGCAAGTGGAGTAGGAGGATTACACCACCTCGCGAACCACTATAATTGTCTTGTGTTCTTTACTGCTTTCTTTACTTACCGCTCTTTACATATTCGCTCTACACGAGATATACTGCTCACACAATCTCACACACACTTTATGTTTATTTATTTCCGCTGTGCACCATACTCTAACAATCTAGTTAAGAGTTTTGGTTTATCTCTGGCTTAGCAATTGTTGTGCTGTGCGAAAAAGTGTGAAAGTCTATTCACCCCCCCCCCCCCCCCTCTAGACTTCCACCTTACCTCTTTTGGGACCAACAATTGGTATCAGAGCGGGTGCCTATCCAGTCAGAATTTGTCTCTAGCTGATACCAACAATTGGTATCAGAGCGGGTGCCTATCCGAGTCAGAATTTGTCTCTAGCTGATACCAACAATTGGTATCAGAGCAGGTTGTCTATTTAGGCCAAATTGCTATCTAAGCATGTGCCTAACTGGGTCAACCGTTTCTGACTGCTAGACAGATCCATTCTGCAAAGTGTGTGGATTGGATTAATCTTTCATATCTCTCGTGATGATGAAGAAGAAAGATTTAGCTCAAAATCTAATATTCTCTCTTGATAAATTTGATGATTGGAAAGTTCGTATGCAGGTACACTTATCGGCCTTACACGATGAAATGTGGGAAGTTATTTCCACTGGCCCTATCGAAATATTAAATGTCAATACGGCGTTTGTCCTATCCCCGGATGCTCCACAGTACGTAAAAAAGCCAAAATCGGAATAGACACCAGACGATAGAACGCGGAATAATCTTGACAATATTGCCAAGGATATTCTATTCAAAGCCGTAGACGATACAATATTTCCGAAGATCCGAAAGTGTGCCACTGCCAAAGAAATATGGGAAACTCTCATCAAGATTGGCGAAGGAGATGAACAAGAAAAAGACAATAAGCTCACAATCTCCATGAAGAAGTTTGAAGATTTCAAAATGCTCTCAAATGAAAGTGTTGCAGACATGGAAGCTCGAATGATCAAAGTTCTTGGAGAGATTAGTGATCTTGGCAAAAATATTAGCCAAAAAGAAATTAATCTCAAAATTCTACGAGGCTTACCATCTGCATGGGATATGAAGGTTACGGCTATGCGCGATCACCGAGATTTAAGAATGTTGTCAACAAACAAATTATTTAGTGATCTAAAAGCATATGAGTTCGAAATGAAGGCCAAAGATGATGATGTACATGAAGCTCGAAATTCTGCTCTAATGGCCGAACAACTGTCAACCTCCAGGTCAGTAGAAAATAATGTTGATTTTATGACTGACGAACAATTTGTTCTTTTTGTGAAAAGATTTAAAAGGTTTATGCGAAAAGGAGACAACAAAAATTCTGCTCGTGGAAAATTCATCTCTCGCATAACACAAGAAGAAAAAGTCGAAGAAAATAAGGATTTATGCTACAATTGCCGCAAACCCGGACATTTTAAAATAAATTGTCCGTATCCGATCGTTAGCAAGTATCAAGGCAAAAATGTTGAATCTGCGCCGAACAAATCCGAAAGCAAAAGGTTCAAGCGCGACAAAAGAAAAGCTCTCGTTAGCAACGAACCAAACGAAAATGATGATTCGGAGGATTCATCATCAAGCAATGAAAGTTCATGTTCGGATGATGATACGGCTCTAGTATGCAAGTCAATTGAGTTGAGTACAAGTGAAGATTGTCTTATGGCTCTTGACGCAGAGGAAGAAGAGGTAACATCTAATTCTTTCAATTCTGTTAATTCTTCTTTTTCTCGTGAATCTATTGACAATCTAATGCGAGAATGTCAAGAGATTATGCTCACTCATCCTCAACTCAAGGAGCGCAATAATATTCTAATTCTTGAAAAAGAAGATATGAATAAAAAATTGCAAGATGCTTTACTTGAAGTGAGTAAATTGAAAAATGAAAATATTCATCTTCAAGAAGAGTGTAAAGCTAGAGAGGTTAGAGAACATAATCTCAGAGCTACTATTGCTACGTTCACTAATTCGTCTAAAATAATAGATAAAATGGTGAGCATGCAAAAGCCATCAGGAGATAGAACCGGAATTGGTTATGACTCCACATGTTCTCAAACCCCTCAAAATCTGACTAATTCTACTACTACTTTAAATAATAAAGTTCAAGTGGTAAAATTTGTTAAAAGTCAGAATAGCACGATGAGACAAGGACTTGGCTATCAAACAAATGCAAAGTTGAATGTTGAAAGGCCAAAACAATTCTATGATACGGCAAAACAACAAAAATTCATCAAGCAAAGATATGCCAAAGAGTCAAGTGCAAAAAGATTTCATAGAAAAGAGGGAAGCTTTTCTAGAA